TCTGCATCTTGCACCAGCAGATGACGCCTGTACTACAGTGTGCACATGCAACCAACCACACAGTGCTTTGCAGAGCTCAAGTCTAGACGCCTCTGAACGCTTTCACTCAAGTGACAGTCCAGGGTGGTGGCAGCTCAGTGGAGTGCTTGTGTCACAGAGACTGGTCCTGTACCCAGCACAGTATAAACCAGGCATGATGATGCACTTGGAAGGTGGAGGCAGGAGGATTGGAAATTCAAGGTCACCCTTGGCTACCTAGGAAATTGAAAGCCAGAATTCATTCCTTTAGATAAGATCATGAGATCCTATCGAAAAAGAAAAAACAAACCCCCCAAAACGCTTTAGTTAACTGCCAGGCTAAAGGAGAATCCTGTTATTGGCTCCAAGTATCGGGCCTCTGGCTGCCGAAGCAGGAGCGACAGCTGAGCAGCTGCAGCTCCAGGGTGCAGCTGGATTTCCCTAAGGGCGCTGGCTAGCCTGGCTACCCTCTAGCCTTTGCTGCGGGACCCCCAGGAAGTGGTTCAAAATTTGAAACGGGGCTGGAGAGATGGCTCAGAGGTTAAGAACAGTGGCAGCTCTTCCAGAGGTCCTGAGTTCAATTCCCAGCAACCACATGGTGGCTCACAACCATATGTATTGAGATCTGGCGCCCTCTTCTGGGGTGTAGGAATATATGCAGACAGAATATTGTATACATAATAAATAAATAAATCTTTAAAAAAAATTGAAACAGGAACATTCTGCCTTCTACAATAGAGTGGGGTCAGATAACATAGGAGGATGCCTTTCAGGATCCTGGGGTTCTTTTTAAATAAGGCGTCATGGTCTACACCTATGAAACCAGCCTATAGGAGGCCGAGGCAGGAAGATTGTTAGTTTAAGGCCAGCCTGGGCTACATAGCAAGATTCTGTCTCAAAAAGAAAAACACACCTATGAAATGTAGAGATAGATAGCTTCCCAGCCTGTCGCCAAGCTTAGTCCATTAAGTGAGCATGGCCACTGCCTTCTGAAGGTCCCCTCTGTTGGTTAAGCGGTGGCGGAAGAATCATGAGCCATGGTTACCGTTCTAGAGCTTTATTGGGGGGGGGGAGAGAGAGAGAGAGAGAGAGAGAGAGAACGGAAGGAGAGAGTGCGGAAAGAGAGGCCACAGAGAGGGCATTTTCCAACTTTTTAGGTGGGACGCTGTCGCAGGCTGGTGACGTAATTAAGGACATAATCCTTATACCCTCCAGGCACTTTTGAGGGTGACTCTGGCCTGTGTCTTGAGGGGCTCACGAAGTAGTTGTGGGGGACCTGCTCCCACTTTCTTCTCCAGGGTACTCTTGAGGAGTGAGGGATAAGGATAGAGGAGAGAGAGACAGAAACACAGGATAGCCTCAGGAGGGCCTGGATCCTTAGCCACCTAAAGGGCTATTTATAACAATGTCAAGGGGCGAGGCAAAAGACCTCCCCCTTGCTGGATCCAAGTGTAGAGCCTTCCAAACACCCGGTACCCTGGCCTGTGATCCAGTCATCCTCTTCTGCAGCCCTGCTGGATAAAGCAAGCTCAGGTCTCACTAGGAAACCTCTGTGGGCTCCCACAAGTAGTCAGCCTCTGTCCTCCTCCTCCTGCTGCTCCTTGACCCTGGCCTCCCCATCCTGTCCACTCTGGCTGGGGGTTCCTTGTGGGGCTTACACTCTGGGGACTAGAGTAGCTGTGTTCCTAGCCATGTGTCACAGAAGCTGGCCGACCCTCAGCAAGTGCAGCCCCTCTGCCCTGTGACCCGGGATCTCACACCTACACCTCGGCGGGGTCAGACAGTGTGCAGGCTACTGTCCAGCTGCTCCACGGACTTAAACTCCCTCATCTCCTCAGCTAGCCTTGCAGGAGGTGGGAGATGGCTCCTAAGTAGTCCTTGCAGTTGCCCAGGATACCTGTCCCCGAGGTCCACAGAGCCTTGCTCGAATCTTCTTCACCCTGTTCTGAAGGGCAGGCAGTGGTGCTGCTGACAGAAAGGGACAGAAGCCACATCCTTCCTTCCACCGGGGCGTGTGTGCCCAGCTCCACGTCACCCCAGGAGCACATGTTGGGACATCCCAAGGATGTGTGCGGTGGGCCCTCCCCAAGTGGAGACCCGCTGCTTATCTCTCCTGAGTCCTGACTCCTCCATTCACAACCAGCCCCAGACACACTGTCTTATCCTTTTGATCATTGTGGAAGGCAGAATTGCAAAATGTCCCCAAGATCCCTTGGCCCTGTGGTGCATACCCCACACTAGTACTGAACATATTGTGGATTCTTCCAGATAGATTGTGTTAGAAGGCATGCCTTCCTTTACATAAGGTCATTGTCCCTGAAGGCTGATGGACTTACATTAAGTCTTTTGTTTATTTAATGGATTTATTTTGTGACAGGGTCTTACTCTGTAGCCCTGGCTGGCCTGAAACTCATTCTATAGACCAGGCTGGCCTTGAACTCAGAGATTCCTCTGCCTGCCAAGTGTTGGGATTAAAGGCGTGCGCCACCACTGCCCAGCTGTTTTTATACTTTATGTGCATTGGTGTTTTGCCTGCATGCATGTCTGTGTGAGGTGTCAGAACCCCTGGAACTGGAGTTACAGACAGGTGTGAGCTGCCATGTGGGTGGTGGGAATTGAACTCTGGTCCTCTGGAAGTCCTCTATTTTTTTTTTTTTTCTTTTTGAAAGGGGGTCTTGGGCGGTGGTGGCAAATGCCTTTAATCCCAACACTTGGGAGGTAGAGACAGGCAGATCTCTAAGTTTGAGGATCTATAGAGCGAGTTCCAGGACAGCCAGGGCCACATAGTAAGACTTTGTCTTAAAAAACAAAAACGGGGCTGGAGAGATGGCTCAGCGGTTAAGAGCACTGGCTGTTCTTCCAGAGGTCCTGAGTTCAATTCCCAGCAACCACATGGTGGCTCACAACCATCTGTAATGAGACCTGGTGCCCTCTTCTGGCCTGCAAGCATACAGGTAGGCAGAATACTCTATACATAACAAAAAATAAAAATTAATTAATTAAAAAAAACAACAACAAAGAACCAAACACAAAATGAATGATCTCACCATGTAGCTAAACTGGCTTAGAATTCACAGTGATCCTCCTGTCTCTGTAGCAGAAATTATGGAATTACAACTATGTATCACCACACCCAGCTTTTCTGAGAGTCTTTTAACAGCCTTACAAGGTAGCCCAAACTTGTCTTGAATCTCTGCTGGGCCTCAGGGTGCTAGGATTACACACAGGAGTCTCAATGCATGGCTCGATGAACTTCCACAGAATCCTCTAGCTGGACAGTTGTGGAAAAGGAAGGAGTCACACCATACTACAGGGCCCACCCGGGAGGTTTATTGAGGGGAGGGGAGAGGAGGGACAGAGAAGGGGGCACAGTCCCTCGGACGAGAGCAAAAGAAGAGAAAGAGAAAGAGATGGGAGGTGGGCAAGGCCTGCCTTTTATAGGGTAACCTAGCAAATGTGCACAGGGGGCGCCCTTAGTGGCTGCAGATGAGGATGTATCCTGTCAGGACCCTAAGGGCGGCCAGTACAGATGCCTGAATGCTAGCAAAGGCAGAGATCAAAATGCAGGAGTGAGTCAGTGGCCCCAGGCCTGTGAGCCCAGCGACTTGGAGGCTGGAGCCGAAAGATCACCAATTCAAGGCCAGCAGCCTGAGCATCCTGACTAGAAATGAAAAGGGTGCTCCGTGGGTAAAGGCACTTGCTGTGCGAACCTGAGGACTGAGGTTCAAGCCCAGGTGGGAGAAGAGGACTGACTCCTGAGAGTCATCCTGACTGCCACCCGAGTGCCGTACACAGTGGCCCACGAGTGAGCGCACACACAGAAAGTCCTAGTAATTAGTGAATAAACACCAAAAATAAGGACTGGAGAGATGGCTCAGCGGTTACGAGCGCTTGTTGCGTGAGAGCCAAAGTTACAGTTTAAGTTTTAATTACTATGCCTAAGAGATCCATGAAACAAAAATGCCTCTGATCTGCAAGCCCCTTGCCCAAGGACAGACAATTCCTGAAATCCTGGAGGCTCCTGTTTATGGGAGAAAACAAAGCCATGTTTTTCATCCCCTAAACAAGTTTGTTTGACCCATCAGCACTGATGTGCTTGGGGCGGGGCGGGGTCTGTCCCCCCGACTCGGCAACATCTAGAAGAGGACTGAATTGAAGAACAGGGTTGCATCAGGGGGGCGGACCTAATTTGCCAACTTTCTGGTTGTGTAAGGTATCATTTTTTCTCAGGAGATACATGTTGAAAGAGTTCATGGTGAAGGGTCATGACCTGTGTGCTTGTCTCCAGTAGTTCAGGAAAAACATGTATGTCTGTGAGAGAGCAAGAGAGAGGAAGCAGATGTTACCTTAGAATGCCAGCTGTCCATGAATCCAAATAAAGGCTCCGTGGGTGTTGAGTGTTCTGTTCTTGCAACATGTCGGAAGGTTTCCCAATTGTCATAAAGAAAAACAAAGTCTCTGAACCCAGATGTGCCCTCCCCAGTACCACCACGGAGACGGGACTGTGGGGCCCCACTGCTCCCAGCCCTAAGGAGGCCAGGTGCCAAGTCCCTTTGTGCTGAAAATGAAAAAAAAAAACAAAAAAACTTTCATTCATATAACAGAATATTGTTCCGCTGCAAAAGAATAAACTATGGTTCCAGAAATCTGGGGGGGAACTTGGCCAGACCCAGCCATGCCACTCCCTGTATATAAACAGTGGCGACCCATTATGTGGTTCTCACCCATTTTCTTTCTTCTCTCTCTCTCTCTCTTTTTTGTTTTTTGTTTTTTTGAGACAGGATTTCTCGTGTAGCTTTGAGCCTTTCCTGGAACTCACTCTGTAGACCAGGCTGGCCTCGAACTCACAGAGATCCACTTGGCTCTGCCTCCCAAGTGCTGGGATTAAAGGCGTGTGTCACCATCACCTGGCTACGAGGACCCATTTTCTTTTTTTTTTTTTTAGATTTATTTATTACGTACACAATGTTCTGTCTGCAGACCAGAGGAGGGGACCAGATCACATTTCAGATGGTTGTGAGCCACCACGTGGTTGCTGGGAATTGAACTCAGGACCTCTGGAAGAGCAGCCAGGGATCTTAACCTCTGAGCCATCTCTCCAGCCCGGGGACCCATTTTCAAACCCACTCAGTGAAGGATAAAAGTGTGGCTTGGTACAGTTCAGAGGCGCCAGGAGAGACCTCAGGGAGGTGCTGCGCTTGGTTTAGGAAGCAGCAGAAGCCCAAGAGGTAGACTGCCTTGGGGCACCTAACAGGTCCAGCTCGGTAGCTGTGTCCCTGGCACCCCCTGGTGGTGGTTCCGGGGAATGATGCTTGCAGAAGAGCAAGCTGCCTCCTCCGCGGCTGCCTAGTGGTCTCACCAAGCTTTCTCTCCTTTCTGTATGTTTGTGCTCCTGTCCAGTTGCCATCCTTCACTGCAGCAAAAGCTGAACTCAGGTTCACCTCTCAGGAATCTTTCTTGGTCATGTTCGCCCAACTCTGACTTACTGGCCCGTTCTTTGCTGTGGGAATGTGAATTATTTGCACACGCTCCCGGGATGCTTGGTGGTTCAACATGTGTGCCATGACGGCAGTGGTGGGGAAGACAACCACTGGCACTTAAGGATCTCCTGTCCCCAGGCACTATATCAACCCTACTTCGAAATGTCCCTCCCTAAAAATCTCTATTCACACAAAGTGGTGGGTCCTCCTATAAGCGTTTATTAAGCAATTCTTGTGTTAATCTCTGAGGCTACAGGAAACAGTCAATGGCTATCACTCCCAGGGGTCCACAGTTGGTAAAGGGAATCGATGCTGGTGATGAGGTATGACAGGGTCACTAACAAGCCACCTGCACCAGGGAAGTGGGTGGGGCAAGTGACTCGGCAGTTTCCCGAGGCTCAGGCAGGTATCCGGGAGGCAATCAGGATTCTGAGAATGGGAGGAAGCCAGCAAGGAAAGATGTTCACAGGTCCAGGGTCTGCTGGGGAAAGATCACAGGTCCACAGGGGTCGAGAGACTGGACCGGAGAGAGCTGGGTGTGCTCTCAGTTGAGACAGTTCCTCAAAGCATTAGAGGCTTTTATGAGCTTGGTAGAGACAATTAGAGGAAACTCAGGCCAGGGACTACCTGCCATCCCCTTCGGCCCTAAGCCAGCACCTGGGATGGAGTAAGGGATGGTCCAGTGCCCATCTGTTCAGCCAGGGCATCTCCAGTACCTACCATACCAGAGGGTGTGGAAGATGAGAAAGCCAAGGACTTTGTTCTCTAGAGGCTGAGACCAGCCAAGGATTAGATAAGCATTCAGATAAGGGTGGTGGAGCAGACCTACAGGATCCAGGGGAGGTCCCTGAGCACGCGGGCCCAGACCACTCAGGTATGGAAAGGGGTGAGAGAGAACATTGGGACCCAAGTCATCCATTTTGTTGTCGCACAGGTCCTCAGAGAAGGTCCTGTGTGGCTTTGGCCAATTCTCTTCCTGGAGTCCGCATCTTCATTTCTGAGGCAGGCTCACAAGTGACCACACCAGGTAGCCGAGCCCTTGTGGTTTGTGAATGCCTGGCACAGAGAAGGATCTCTCCCTGACTGGCTCATGTCGTTAAGCAATTTGACTTTATTCCTGGGTCTGGGTTTCTAATTTTAAAATTTTTATTTTTTTAGCTGGCCAGGTGCTAGTACACACTCAGAATCCTAGCACCCAAGCAAAAGCAAAAGGTTGGCTTCAAGTTCCACGTGTATACACACACACACACACACACACACACACACACACACACACACAAAGGGGGGAAGAGACCCTGTCTCAAAAATAAACAAAAAAACAGGTGGGGGGAGGCAGGCGCCCTTGTCAAGTGTCTGTGACGCCATCTCGGGGGGCCCTGACATTCTCTTCTGACTTCTGTGGGCACCGCTTATATGTGGTGCGCAGACATACCAATCTTTTTAAGAGGCCCGGGTGAGACTTACACTCAATCACTTTAAGAAGACGCCTAGGCTGAGATTGTAGTTCGGTTGGCAGAGTGCCTGCCTAGCATGTACAGGGTTTAAGCATCAGCACCACCAATAAGCAGGCCTGGTGGTGCATGCTTGTCATCTTAGCATTTAGGAGGTAGCAGCAGGAGGATCAGAAGTTCCCAGTCACCCTAGACTACACAAAGTTTGAGGCAAGCTTGGGCTACCTGAGACCCTGTCTGAACAGAGAAGCTTCTTCCTTGGCTGAGAAGTACCTGATGTTTAGCATGAGGGCCTGGCTGCATCCCTATTACCTCCAGAACAAGGTAGCAAATGCTTGGGCTGAGCCTGGACAGTGGTCGATGATAAGAACACATCTGGAGCTGTGCACAATGACTCATGCCCGTGTGCCTATAATTCTGGTACTCTGCAGGCAGGGAGAGGTTCAAGGCCAGCCTGGGTTACATAGCAAGTTCCCACCAGCAACCAAAAAAGAACCTGGCAGAGAAGCTGGGGAGGGGACCCCGCAGAACACACAGGCATGCTACAAAGGGGGCAACAGGTGGGGGTGGTGTGGAAGGAGTTGGGGCCTTGACCTTGACGTCTTCCTCCCCACCCCCGCCCTGCTCTTTCAGGTCCTTGTGGCTGGCATTGAGGCGAACATACCTGTGACCTATGGAATTGGCAGCCAGAGGAGAGACCAGAGCACTGGCTGTCAATTCATAGGTCAGAGCCCTGTGCACTCCATCTCGGCGGCCCGCTGCTTTCATTCCCAGGCCCAAGGGCTGCCGCGTCTCTGCTGGCGTGCTGGGTGGCCGTGGCTTCTCTTCCTCCGTGGGTGCCAGCCTGCACCCCAGATAACAGCAGCCCCACTGGAAACCAGTGGGCACTTCCACATGGAGTTGCTGTTACAGGGGGTGGGGGCCAGAGTCGGTACGGGCGCAGGCACCTCCTTTCCGGCAGGACCTGGGAAGAGCCCCGCAGCTGCCCACCCATGCCCCTCGGCCCTCTTGGCTCCAGGTCCACACTTTTTATTGAGGCTTCTTATCATTCATCCAAGGCCCACACCTGGCACCCCACAGGACGCCAACCTTCTTCCTGGGCGAAGTCCAAGCTCAACCCGCGAGGCTCCCCATCGGATGGGAGCGGCTCTGATTTACAACTCTCCTGCAGCAGCCTTTGCTCACGACACCCACACCCTTTGCCCCCGAGTTCCCTTGTTTCCTCCCCAACAGACCCGGGCCCAGCTACAGCTTCTGCCCACCCTCAGGGCTGCAGCCATGGGGCAGAGGGACAGCACAGGAGAGCTGGGCTGTAACCTCCAGGGATCTCGAAATGCCACTTTCCCGGGGTGGCCCTATCCAGGAAGCTGGAGACAAGAGTGAAGGAACCGGAAGCATGAAAGACAGAAAGCGAGGCTGAGGGGCCAAGAGAAAAAGATGGGGACACGGGAGGAGGTAGGGAAGGAAAGGACAAGGGGCCCCGGGGTGACACTCAGTGGTAGAGTGCTGGGCTTAAGACTCTGAGCTTAATCCTCAGTATGTGGGGGGAGGGAGCGTGGACGGTGGTGCCCAACCTGGTTCCTTGAATGCTGAGAGCGGCATGGGCAGCCAGGCCCTGGAAGGATTCAGTTCCTCACCAGTCTCAGCCAGCGAGGGTCTGGGAGCTGGGTGACCTCTAACCAGCAGCTTCACTTCTCTGGATTACTTACTACCAGCTCCACCTGTGCAGGCCAGGGCTTCGGGGAGGCCATCTTGCACACTGGTCTGTGCTGGTGAGAAGCTGCCTACCCTTCCACCCACCCCATCCCTGCCGTGACAAGGAGCTGAGAGGTGGGACCCCTGAGCTGACTCAGGGGTCCAGGAACTCATCTACATTCTCATCATTTCCACAGATTCTGGCCCAAAAGGCTTCAGGGACAGGGGCCACTGTCTGTCCTACTGGGACTGAAAAGAAAGGGAAGCTTCCGGGGCACCCCATTTTGGCAGTGGTAGAAAAAGGCCCAGAGAAGCAGAGGGTGCTGCCCAAGGTCCCACTGCTGGGCCTTGGAGGGGGTCCTGCCCTGTGCTTTGCAGGAATCTTCCCTGGGAGGGCCGTCCTATGGAGGAAGAGTAAGTAGACGGTCAACGCTCTCCCCAGAGCCCTGCTGCCCATCCCAAGGCCTAGGCAGGCCCAGCCGCCTGCCGCACGAGGCACCAGCACTCCCGTAAGACAGACATGGCAGCCGTTTAGGAATCCTGTCTCCTAAGAGCTAGCAAGCTCCAGGCCTGGACACTGCCGCCACCTCACCCAAAGGTGTAAAACCGAGGCCACAGAACGGGAGTCGGCTCCCCCGAAGTCCCCATGCCCACCTCTCTTTTCTTCCTCAGAAGGGCTGATGGCTCTGCAGGAAGGCTTGGAGTTATGGACAGTCATGCCTTCCGGGAGACAGCCCGCGAGCTCTTACCTTCTACCTAGCTGGCCTTCAGGGCACAAGGAGGAAGTGGGGCCACCCTGGGCCCAGGGCCTTTTGAGCCGTTGGCCCAGCCCTGGCAGTGTTAATGATTAGCCCACTGCCATCAATACTGATCACAAGTGGGGTCCGAAGGGCAGCAGACCTGGACTGTGCCCCGGCTGGTGGGGCGGGTCCAGGAAGTCCACGGGGCCTTCAGCTACCTAGTGGCAGACCCTGGCCACCCATGGGCTTGTCCCCCCTCAGGCTTCAGTGGCTCAACCTCTTGACTAGTCTGTTGGCCTGAGCTAACCACAGGCAGCCAAAATGGGGGGTGGAAGGGGACAGGGACAGGTCTCTGTTCAAAACTCAGATCTGTGACAGAGGCCAAAAGACCACCGTTGACTTCAGTGCTGGCCAGAGATGCTCAGCAAAGTGAGGGACCTCTGGGACTCCATAGACCCACCCATTTCCTGGCAGTGCCACTGAGGGTGCAGTCACTGGGTTGACTCCCTTGTGAACAAGGTATGTGGGATGGGGGCAATGGGCATCTTCTAGATGCCATGGCATTGTCCCAACACGTCTCCCCTTTAAGGCCTGGACATCCCAAAAGCCTTTCTTTGAAGATGGTGAGAATAGCCTCCACAGGGCCTAGGAATCAGCCTTCTAGAGTGGGACAGCCCTGGATGCTGTCTCAGCTGGCAGACTAACAGATGTAGCCTTAGGCCACAACCCAGGGCTTCACAGCAGTGACCTGGAGCCCTGCTTGGCTCCAGCCCAAGAATAAGGCTGGACCCTGGGGTCTTACAGGGATAGAACCAAGAAATGGGGCTTTGATCTGGGCTCCTAGATCTCATCCTCTGAGATTGCCAGGTGATGCCTCACAGACTCACTCAGCAACCACCACTCAGAAGTAGTGCCAGGGTGATAGGCACCCAGGACAGTAGCTAGGTTGAGCCCAAAGTGGAAGGGGAGGCTGGTTTGCACCAGCAGAAAGCTAAGGGTGGAGTGTGGTGCCCCCTGGTGGCAACAGGCGGGTACTGCGTGCAGAGGTGGGACCTGGGAGGTCAAGGTCTAGGCTGAGGCAGGGCCGGCTGGGTGGGGCCTCACAGGTACACAGGACCTGAAAGAGGGGCTGGCGGTGGGCAAGTTTATTCCACTTCATGCAGACACTGACCCACACGCTCAAGGATCTTAAAAATACACTGACCCACATGGCACCTGTCCCCCACCTCCCCACGAGACATGGAGAGACACTTGGCTGAGCGGGGTCCGCGGGTCCAAAAGCCTCCATCCTCATTCTGGAACAAGGCAACAGCGTGGGCCCAGGTAGCAGGGAGGAGCAGCGTCCTTTCTCCCCAGACGAAAGTGCAGAGACAGGGCAGAGGCCCCACAGCCGGAGGCCCCACAGCCGGAGGCCCCGCTCCCGTGGCGAATTGGCAACAGGCGGGCTGGGCAGGCATCCTTCACAGTGGCCATCCCTCGAAGGGCCTGGTGGCGCCACTGCGGCTGGCCGGACACGGCGAGCACGTCGGGACAGTGGATGGATCCCAGGTGCCTGCAGTCAGTCCTGGGTCTCCTCCAAGCGCCACTTGAGAGCATGGTCCTTGTGCGCATCAGGCAGGATCTGGTTGCGCATGCCCCCGAGCACGTTGGATGTGGCCTCCGTGGCTAGGATTATTGGTTTGACCACCGTTGGGGGCAGCTGTCGGATCACACCGCCCACGGCACCCGTCAGTCCCTTCTGCTCATGGCCCCTTGATGCCACATCACAGATGGTCTGAGCTGTATCCAGGATGCCCTGTGGAGGTCAGAGGTCAGTGAGGGAGTCGGGGTGGGGCAGCTGGGAGTGGGACTAGGCTGGTTCTCACCTCTCGGACAGCATCATAGGCCTTGGCCATGCCCTCCCGGAGGTCAGCAGGTTGTTGACCTCTGCGCAGTTTCCGTGAAGAACGCTTGTCTTGTAGGGAGCGGGAGATGGGGGACGCGGGGGACAGGATGTCATACACTGTCTCAGCTGTAGCCTGAAGGACACCAGAGATGGACGATGACAGACGGCCGAGCAGACATAGCCTGGCCAGCCTGGGACCAGAGCTCCATCAGCACGACTGTCCCTTCCTATTCCGTCTACTTCCTCACCTCCTTTTCCCTCTAGTGGTTCCCATCACTTACCTCAGGGAACTTCCTTTTAAATTTCCCTCTTATTACTCATTTATCTTTATTTATGTGTGATACTGTGTGAATGCAGCGCCCCTAGAGGCCAGAGGAGGGCCCAGGATCCTTTGAGGGAACTGAACCCAGGTCCTCGGCAAGAGCAGCAAGCAGCCCTAACTGCTGAGCCATCTCTCCAGCTCTTCAAGGGCTTCCTCGATGTAAGGAGACATTAGCAAGCCATTCTGGGGCTGGCAAGATGGCTCCGAAGGTTAGGGTACTTGTTCTGAGGTGACCTGAATTCAATCCCTAACCTCAGAACCAACATGGTAGAGAGAACAGATTCCCCAAATGGTCTGACCTCCAAACTACAAGCCAGAGTACACATAGAGTAAGTAAATTAAAGAGAGAAGGAGCCGGGCGGTGGTGGTGCACGCCTTTAATCCCAGCACTCGGGAGGCAGAGCCAGGCGGATCTCTGTGAGTTTGAGTCCAGCCTGGGCTACACAGAGAGTTCCAGGAAAGGCGCAAAGCTATGCAGAGAAACCCGGTCTCAAAAACCAAAAGGAGAGAGAGAGAGAGAGGGAGGGAGGGAGAAAGAGAGAAAGAGAGAGAGAGAGAGAGAGAGAGAGAGAGAGAGAGAGAGAGAGAGAGGGAGGGAGGGAGGGAGGGAGGGAGGGAGGGAGGGAGGGAGGGAGGGAGGGAGGGAGGGAGGGAGGGAGCATTTCGGCTTGGTGAGACAGCTGCTGGAGAGAATGCCTGTGGGCCCCACACCGGGGCTGCCGAGGCTGAGACCTGCCCGAGCTGTCTAGTGCCCCAACTAGAGGGCAGCCCCTGTACAGACAGACCCTAAGCGTCATCAAAACAAGCCCACTGCCAAACAAACCCACCTTCTGCCCACCCACCCGCCCCTGGCTCCGTGTTCTCTACCCACTCCCTGTCTTTCCCGTCCAAATGAACCTCCACTGCAGACCCCTGGAACCCTGCCCTTCCCGCTCCGGGCTGAGAACAAAGGTCACTGATGCACAGGGTTCCACACGTCTGCAGGCTCACCCAGCCCCACCCCGGAGCTCAGTCATTTCCGGGAAGACCTGGGCTTTGGGGTGTGTGTGCGCGTGCGTGTGTGTCAGGGGGTAGAGACGCGCTCTGGGGCACTTTACTGGGCCACTTTCTGCATCTGCTCCGTGTACACTCCTCACTTACAAATAGCTGGAGCATGGAGACATGGTGGGCTCTGATAGCCCAGAACATACTTTTGGCCCCACCCATGGGAGTCACCATGTCATGTGGCCTTTATCTGTGCCCAGCCTTTTCAAGTTCAGCTTTCAGCAGAACTGGGA